GTTGCCCAGGCTGGTCTTGAACTCCTGGGCTCAAGTGATCCTTCTGCCTTGGCCTTCAAAGTGCTGAGATTACAGGTGTGAACCACTGTGTCCGGCTTGTTTTTGCTTTTGCTTTTTTTATTTTTTGAGACGGAGTCTCACTCTATCACTCAGGCTGGAGTGCAGTGACGCAATCTCGGCTCACTGCAACCTCCGCCTCCGAGTTCAAGCAATTCTCCTGCCTCAGCCTCCTGGGTAGCTCGGATTACAGGCGTGCACCACCACGACGAGTGTAAATGACTTTTTCCCAATATCTTATTATTGATAAAAAGGATATATTGATATCTGTATCTGCAAAGAGTGTAATGAGATATGAAAATCTGTGACTTCTGTTGGGATAAAGTAACAGTAGCGTCTCTTTCCATCAGGCAAGCAATAAGCCAGAACTTATTGCAACATTTTTTCATTCCAAATTCAAGAGCCCGCAGGATTCTATCCATGATTAGGTCCTTTGATGTTGAGGGGTTCTGTATTTATTCCCAGGACACTAGAGAGTCGCGGTCAGAGTGATGTGCTGGACACTGCTCGTTGGCAACCTCAAGGGTGGGAGAATGTGTTGGAGGGAGGGAAAGGCTGGCTGCAAGAATATCGGGAGGGGGCTGTTGCAGTTAACGCGAAGAAATGGCGGCCTTCCCAGTGTGCGGCAGAGGACAGACTCAAAGAGGCAGAGTCAAGACATTTAGGTACCTCCGTATCCCTGACTGGGATAATGAAACACCCTCCCTACTGCACCTGCCCATGCTTTCAATCTGCACTACACCCAGTCCCTGGAGCTGTCTCACGGAAGAAGTCGAGTTGCAGTGACTCCCTCCTCACCATCCATCCTCTCAGGCTCCAGGGGAAGATCCCATGCCCTTCAGCCAGTCTCCCCAACCGTAGTCCCCTACCGGCTCTTGGCTTCACTGCCCCGTGCGGCCGTTGCTCCAAGCCCCAGGCCGGTATTGCTGCCTCGCGGCACCGCGCCAGCTCCTCCGCGTCGCTACTGCTTTCCGAATCGCTCATAGTGCCATTGGGCGCCGCCATCTTGAACTACCGCAAAGGATTGTGGAGAACACCTCCATTATCAACCCTCCAGCACGACCTCACATGAGAGGAGAGGCGCGTGGCATTGTGGGGATTGTAGTTCTACTACTCGGGCCGCCATTGGCCGTGACCTGTTCTGGGTTGGGGATACCGGGTGGGAATGGGGAGGTGGGCACTTCTCAAACGCGAGATCTAGAAGGGCCTAAGAGATTAACTTCTCCAATCTTTTATTGATAAAGGGATCTCCGTGGGGGAGGGAATCTCCTTAAGGAGTTAATGACAGAACCAGGATTAGTTCCCAGGTTTTGATTTGATGTCATTTATTCTAGTAATTTCCCAGTCCAGTTGGGCCTCAGAAACACCTTAGAGAGATAAACTGCAGACTTTGGGTCTCACAAAAAACACTAACCGAATCAGAATCTCTGACAGGTGGGACCCAGGAATCTGTATTTCCTTTAATAACCTAGAGCCTTACTTCTTAGAGTGTAGTCCATGAACCAGCAGCATTGATAACACCTGGGAGCTCGTTAGAAATGCAGAATCCTGGCCCAGTGCGGTGGCTCACGCCTGTAATCCCAACACTTTGAGTGGCCGAGGCGGGCGAATCACCTGAAGTCAGGAGTTCGAGAGCAGCCTGACCAACATACTGAAATCCTATATCTACTAAAAAAAAAAAAAAAAAAAAAGATACAAAATTAGCAGGGCTTAGTGGCATATTCCTGTAATTCCAGCTACTTGGGAGGTTGAAGCAGGAGAATTGCTAGAACCTGGGAGGCAGAGGTTGGGGTGAGCTGAGATCTCGCCATTGTATTCCAGCATGGGACGATGCCCGGAGTCCAGGAGTTCAAGGTTGCAGTGACCCCTGTTGGTGCCACTGCACCTCGCCTGGTCTACAGAGCCAGACCTTGTCTCTAAAAAAAAAAAAGAAATGACGAAATGCAGAATCCTGGGCTCCACCACAAACCCACTGAATCAGAATTTGCATTTTTACAAGATCTCTTGGTGATCTGTATGCATACTAAAGTTTCAGAGGCATTGTCCTCAGTGATTCAGATGCATGGCTTTGGTCTGAGAAACACCCTAGTTTTCTAGGTGTTTAGGGAACTTAAAAAAAAAACACTGACTCCCAGGACCCATCCAAGACCAAAAAATTAGAATCTCTGTGGTTAAAATACCCCATAGTGAAGGAGGAACAAAATCACTTTATTTGTGTCTGTGGAATACTTTTTCATATTTTATCTTTGAAGACAAGTATGTCAAAACTTTACTAAAACAAACTCTCTGGCCTTGAGCTTTTCTGTTCCAAAAAAGAGGAAGGTGACCGATGTGGTCTGAATGTTTGCGTTTTTCCAAAATTAATATGTTTAAAATTGGCAACCTAAAGTAAACAACAGAGAGACTGATGCTCCAAAAGAAAGGGTTTATTCAAGAATTGCAAGAAATTGCAATTTGAGATATGAATGTTATAGTGGACAATAGGCACATTAAAAGAGGTTGGAGGGGAAGAGCGGGATGGCTCACGCCTGCAATCCCAGCATTTTGGGAGGCCGTGGTAGGTAGATCGAGACCATCCTGGCAAACATGGTGAAACTCCGTCTCTACTAAAAATACAAAAATTAGCTGGGTGTGGTGGCACATGTCTGTAATCCCAGCTACTCTGGCAGCTGAGGCAGGAGAATCGCCTGAATCCAGGAAGTGGAGGTTGCAGTGAGTTTAGATTGCGCCCCTGCACTCCAGCCTGGCAACAGAGTGAGACTCTGTCTCAGAAAAAAAAGGTTGGGGTGAGCAAGGAGAAATCCACATAAACTTCTTTGAAACAAGCACTGTTGATTACAGGAGCCTGTTGCAGGAGTTGGTGTTAGCTTATTGTGGAGACAGCCACTGTTAGACAAATATCCTTGTACAAGGGGCTTACCTATAATACTGTGGTTTTGAGGAATTTCTTGAGATAATTTCTCTGACAGGCATATGTGTGTGAGGGCCCCTTCTTCACGGCCTCCCAGCCCCACTTTGTTACGATTTGACATAAGTGACTGATAACTTCCAAAAAGTCCTCACTCCCAGGGTGATGGTATGAGGAGGTGGTGGGCTTTTGGGAAGTAATTAGGTAATGGGGCCTGAGCCCTCATGAACTGGATTAATGCCCTCATAAAAGAGTCCCCAGAGACAACTTTACCCCTTCCACCGTGTGAAGACTTAGTGGGAAGCTGCCATGTACGAATCAGAAAGAGGCCTTACCAGACACCAAACCTGCCAGTGACTTGACCTGGACTTCCCAGCCTCGAGAGCAGTGAGAAAAAATGGTTATTGTTTATGAGCCATGCAGGGTATGGTATTTCATTATAGCAGCCCAAATGAACTAAGATATTGACTTTTTCATTCTTTTTTTTTTTTTTTTTTTTGAGACTGAGTCTCACTCTATCACCAGGCTGGAGTTCAGTGGTGCGATCCCAACTCCCTGCAATTTCCATTTTCTTGTTTCAAGCAATTCTCCTGCCTCAGCCTCCTGAGTAGCTGGGACTGCAGGCACACATCACCATGCCTGGCTAAGTTTTTGTATTTTTAGTAGAGATGGGGTTTCACCAGTTTGGCCAGGATGGTCTTGATCTCTTGACCTCGTGATCCGTCTGCCTCGGCCTCCCAAAGTGCTGGGATTACAGGCGTGAGCCACCGTGCCATTCTTTTTTTTTTAAACAAGAATTTTCTCACCGCCTACAATGTGGGCTGTGCTGGGCATTATGAAGGACACAAAGATGGGGACTGGACCAGCCTTCTGGAAATGAGGCACTCTTTCTGTCCCTGGAGGCAAACAGAAGTGGGAAATATACCGATTATGATTGCCGAATTGACCAGAGGCTGTTGAGAACCAATTGCAATGTGCATTTTCTGTGCTATGGTAGGTGAGTAGCCCAGTAGAAAGCTGGACAAAATGGGAAGGCAAAAGGAAACTTTTTATTGCTTGGAGTAAACCTGATCACATGATGTCCTTCGATAATAAAGACGCCGTTATTTTCCTGCAGTTTCCTATTACCTACCGTTTGTGTATGGATTTTAGGAGTTGAGGTGATTTTTTTTACACTGCATCAGCCTTGGTCTCCTATTCTTTGTCTCCTTTTTGCCTCAGGTTTCCCAGTCCCCGTTTCTTGGAGTTGAGAAGCTCAAATGATCAAGCAATAACCATTAGGACAGCATTAGGCCCTGTGAAAATAAGGAGCACCCAAATGAGAGCTAACAGAGGCTGTTCATTCCCAGTTTCCGATTGGGAATTCACCCTGCAGACCCCGAATGAAGCTGTTGGGGTCGATGGCACAGGCGTGGCTCTCACCATCAGGATCCTTCACGAGGACCTGGATCTGGCAGGGGGATAGTCTCCAGCAGATGGAGACCAGCCACCATCTCTTGCCCTTGACAGAGATTTAAATACAGGCAGGAAAATGGGAAGGCTCCAGGGACGCCCTGACTGAGGCTGTTGGTGTGGAGAAGCTGTAAGCACACTGGCTAGAAGCAGGGCTAACCGTGTGATTGGTCTGGGGAGCTTATTTGGCTTTCTCGGTTGGTCTTAAATTGGAAGCGGAATGGGAGTGGGGCGGGGAATTAGAGAAGCAAGCAGTTATTGACCAAGTCCTGATGGTTTGGGGTTGATTGATTGTGGGTCAGAATTCTATTGTCATATGTGGTGTGGCCAGTGTCCATTTGTGTATTCAGTGTCTCATCCTCCTCCTGGCAGGGCTGGGATAATTCTTTTTTTAAACAAATTTACTTATTTTTATTTTTTAGACACAGGGTCTCTATCTGTTGCCTGGGCAGGAGCGTAGTGGTGTGATCATAGCTCACTGCAGCTTCAACCTCCTTCAACCTCCTGGGATCAAGCCATCCTTCCACCTCAGCCTCTCGAGTACCTGAGACTACAAGCACACACCACCACAACCAACTGCTTATTTTTTATTTTGTAGAGACGGGGTCTTCCTATGATACCCAGGCTGGTCTTGAACTCCTTGGCTTAAGCATTCCTCCTACCTCGGCCTCCCAAAGTACTGGGATTACGGGTGTGAGCGACTACGTCTGGCTTGGGATAACTCATCATAAAGCTGGTGAAGACCTAGGACCTTCCCAGTAAACAGTGGGACAGAGTGGTTCACAGAATGAGTTCTGGAGCAGGTGGCAGAAATGTACAGAGAAGTTTCCCAGAGGAGACTAGCTGGCTGGAAACAGAGCCTGTCCCTCTTTCTTCTTAGAGAGGATGAGGGTGTCACTGTCTTGGACGTCATAGCCCCGCAGACTCAACCAGTCCTGCAGGACTTGGCCTTGGAATTCCAGCTGCTGCTGCTTTTTAGGCAGCCCCTGCTGGTCTTCAATCTGCTCCTTCAGACCCAGGATGAAGCTGTTGGGGTCGATGGCATAGGCGTAGCTCTCACCATCAGGATTCTTCACGAAGACCTGGATTTCCGGGGGGATGGCCTCCAGCAGATAGATGTGAGTGTGGGAGAAGATCCCGTATTTGGCTAAGGAGGATCGGCTGCTAAGAAGCTGCCTCTCATCGCCAGGAGCCTGGAAGGACAGACGCTGCAGGCCCGAGTAACCCCTGCTCCTCCGGATTTTCTCTTTAATCTTCTTTATGGGCTCATAAGGGTTCACGATGAGCTTGTAATCGGGGTAACCCCTCTGCTCCACTGTCACATGGATGTCTCGTGCCCTCTGGAAGGAAGAGGGAGAAGGAGAGGTGTTAAGTCCACACTTCTCTGTCTGATGTGCAGACGCTCCCTTCATCTGTCCTTATCTTTACAATAGCAGCAGCAGCAAATGTTTAGGGAGTGGCAACCACTTTCAGGCGGTATGCTGGGCACCTTCCATGCCCTTAATGCACTGTATTCTCAGAACATGTCTGTTAGTTGGTTGGTTCTAGTGTTATCCCCATGTTATTGATGAGGAAACTGGTTGAGCAGGATTAAGTAATTTACTGAACACCAATCACAAAGGTAGTAAGGAGCAGGGCAGATTCCACAGTCTGCGTTCTCACCACTGCCAGAGGCTACATTCCAGGGCCTGAGGGCCCCAGGTGGCTGGAGAGCACCTGGAAAATGCTGGTGAGGGTCAGGCCTCTAGCTGATTCTTTCCAGAGGAAATATAAGCCTTGGCTAGGTGCAGAGGCTCATGGCTGTCATCCCAGCAGTTTGGGAGGCTGAGGCGGGCAGATCACTTGAGGTGAGGAGTTTGTGAGCAGCCTGGGCAACATGGCAAAACCCATCTCTACCAAAAAAATTCAAAAATTAGCCAGGTATGGTGGCGTGTGCCTACTCGGGTGATTGAAGTGTGAGACTCTCTTGAACCCAGGGGGTGGACGTTGCAGTGAGCTGAGATCATACCACTGCACTCCAGCCTGGGCAACAGAGCCAGACTCTATCTCAAAAAAAAAAAAAAAAAAAAAAGAAAGAAAGAAGAATTATAAGTCTGGCGTTGCCAAGTTTTCTGATTTGTCGAGATAAAAAATCTTTGCACAATTTTTTGTGTATTTGTTTTGTTTTTTGAGACAGAGCCTTGCTCTGTTACCCAGGCTGCAAGATAGGGGCATAGTCTTAGCTCACTGCAGCCTTGACTTTCCAAGCTCACGTGATCCTCTCACCTCAGCCTCCTGAGTAGCTGGGACCACAGGTGTGTGTCACCACATCTAGCTAAGTTTTGTATTTTTAGTAGAGACAGGGTTTCACCATGTTGCCTATGCTGGTCTCGAACTCTTGGGCTCAAGGGATCCACCTGCCTCAGTCTCCCAAAATGCTGAGATTACAGGCATGAGCCACCGCCCCCAGCCTACAGTGGTTTTTATATTCAGGAAAAATCCAGAGGCATATATTTTCCAGCCTGTGGGTAGGCCTCTCATTTGGCTGCTAGGTCGCCATTTATAACTCTCTGTACCTTACTGGAGCCTCTGGTTCTGCTTCCGCCTTCTGCTCCAAGTAGGCCAGTCTCCTGTTCCTATAAACATCTTGCTCATCCCAGACTCCCATCCTTGGCCCCTCATCATACTTTGTCTTCTGTTCTGAGTGTCTGTATCTTTCCCTGTCCCTTAGGGCTCACCTCAACCCCTAACTTCTTTAAGGAATCATCTCTGGTGACTTCAGTGAACATTTATTCTGCTTCCAGACCCCCAGAGCCTCTGGTTCTGCAGCCTGTTAGCAGTGTGACCTTAGTTAATTAACCTCTCTGAGCCTCAGTTTTCTCCTCTGAAAATTGCAATAGGAGTGAGGATGATGATGATGAGACAGTGGTAATACTCGGCCTTCTTACTTTATAGAACGGCACGTGAGGATCAACTGAGATGGACTCTGGAAAGGCACGTTGCAAACTAGAAAGTGTGATGTGAATGAAATAGGTGATTGTGATCTCTGCCTATGCCATGGGTTTCACATCACATAATAATATGACTTCGCATTTTTCTTTGTTTTCAGAGTATCTTGTCTTCTCTGGTTATTCTAGCAGTTTTGTGTAAGTTTGTTTCATGGATTTGCTTCCTAACAATGTAGGGTGAGTTCTTTGAAAGTTGGGGTCATGTCTCTTTTTTTTTAAATAGAGTATCCCTCTTGTCATCCAGGCTGGAGTGCAATGGCTTGATCTCAGGTCACTGCAGCCCCTGCCTCCAGGGTTCAAGAGATTCTCCTGCCTCGGCCTCCCAAGTAGCTGGGATTACAGGCGCCTGCCATCACACCTGGCTAATTTTGTATTTTTTCAGTAGAGACAGGGTTTTGCCATGTTGGCCAGGCTGGTCTAGAACTCCTGACCTCAACTGATCGGCCTCCCAAAGTGCTGAAATACAGGTGTGAGCCACCCCGCCCGGCCGAGTCGGAGGCCTGTGTGGTCCCCCAGCCCCCACTCCCACCTCCGTCCCCGAGCTCAGCAATGGCACAGAGTGGCTGATTGAGTTGACTTGGCTGGACCCAACTCATGCAAAGAATGATCAGGAACACGAAACTGATTCTCCAGTGGGTTATGGGAAAAATAAGGGAAAGGAGAACAAAAACTTGAAGGTAAGAAACCCGAGGCTCTGAGAGCCAAAGAATTTGTCTACGTGGACAGAGCAGATGGTGGTGCGGCCGGGCCTCACACGGTGACTCGGGTTCTGCTCTCCATCGGCACAGAACTGAATGAGTCAATGCTGAGTAGTTATCTGCCATTCTCAGCTTCCAGCCCTTGACTGCCCAGAGAGGAGCTGTTACCTTCACGTTCCAGCTGGGGATGGGGTTCTCCCTGTCATCATAGCAGCAGTCCTGTTTCAGGCACTGGGAGGCCCTCTGAGCGACGATGTCCCATCTGTACCCTTCTGCTACATTGTGGGTGGGGTCGGCGGGATCCAGGATGACGGGCCTGCAACACAGGGAAAGGGCGCCCCGGCTTGTAATGGTTTGGAGCCTTCAAGCCAGAAAAAAAAACTTCTCAGCAATTATTTAGTCCAGTCACTGATGAGCCATTGCGATGTCCATATCCTGCAGATGTTCAGGAGGGCCCCAATCGCGGCAGAAGAGTAACAGGATGGAGACAATCCTATTTCCAAGAATTCCTGTCTGGGCCAGGCACAGTGGCTCACGCCTGTAATCCAAGCACTTTGGGAGGCAGAGGCGGGAGGGTCGCTTGAGCTCAGGAGTTCAAGACCAGCCTGGCCAACATGGTGAAGCCCTGTCTCTACTAAAAATACAAAAAATTAGCCAGATGTGGTGGCGCACACCTGTCATCCCAGTTACTCGGGAGGCTGAGACAGGAGAATTTCTTGAACCCCGGAGGCGGAGTTTGCAATGAGCCAAGATTGCACCACCACACTCCAGACTGGGCGACTGAGCGAGACTCCGTCTCAAAAAAAAAAAAAAAAAAGAAAAGAAAATAATTCCTCTCTGGGAGAGTACCTGGGGTGTTTACAAGGAATTATGGGGGAGAATGAGCCTCCAAGAGGCATGCTAGAGGAGTAACAGATGCCCGTTCAGACAGGGGGGGCCTTTACATTCAGAGCAGGCTTTGCAACTTTAAGATTAGAGCTGCTGACTTGCTTTGCATAATAGAAACACCATCACCACCAGCTACTGATTTCTATTGAAGCACAAGGCCAAATCCTGTGCAAATTAACCTCTTTTAATCCTCATAGCCATTCTACCAGGTAGGGACGGTTGCTTTCGTTGTTGAGGTTGTCTTGTTTTTACACATCTCCCTAAGTTCTTACAGCCAGTAGATGGGGCTCTTACCCATTTACCTCCTTGTGGGAAGTAGAAAAGTTCCCTCTTAAAGTTTCCTTTCTTGTTAAAAAATAAATCATAAGTGTGCTAATGACTCTTTGTTAAGCCCCATCCTTTTTTTTTTTTTTTTTTAAAGATGGGGTTTCACCATGTTGGTCAGGCTGGTCTTGAACTCTCGACCTCAGGTGATCCGCCCACCTTGGCCTCCAAAGTGCTTGGATTACAGGCGTGAGCCACCACGCCCGGCCATGTTAAGCCCCCATCCTATGTAGCTGTTAGACATGCCATGCTTACAGGCATGTAGTACTACATTCTATGTCCTTTTACATTAACCACGATATCTGTGCTGGGCACGCTCACAGGCATGTCCCAGCTCTCCAGTGCTTTTACCTGTTTAAAAAAGTTTTGAGTTATTAGCCAGTCAGGTTTTAGTTTAAATTTTAAGGTCCGCTTCCAACCAACGGAGATCAAACACAGCAGTAAGAACAACCCCAAATGCGTAAGGGATACATTTGTCTGCTTTTCCTCTGTTCACTGCACTCTCGTGGCAAAATAGCTAGTAGCAGTACCCTTCCTGCAGTCCGGGAAGTAAAAATTGCATTGCTAAAAAATCTTTTGTCTCAGTGCTGATTTTCTTTGCAGCACCGAGCATCTATTTCCAACACCGCTCAACAGAGCAGAGGTTGGGCTGCCCCCAAGAGTCTCTCCTTTCTATAAATATTGAATAAATATTTTAAAGAATATTGACTTGAAGGGGATCTTGAGCCTGCTTAGTAACTTGGGGTGACTGCAAGCCCATGATTAAGGCCAGCTCTTTGGTCAGGGTGTAGTGGCTCACGCTTGTAATCCCAGCATTTTGGGGGGCTGAGTTGAACAAATCACTTGAGGTCAGGAGTTCAAGATGAGCCTGGCCAACATGGCAAAACCCCGTCTCTACAAAAAATACAAAAATTAGCAGGGCATGGTGGCCATTACTTGGGAGGCTGAGGTGGGAGGATAGCTTGAACCCGGGAGGTGGTGGCTGCAATGAGCCAAGATAGTGCCACTGCACTCCAGCCTAGGTGGTAAAGTAAGACTCTGTCTCAAAAAAAAAAAAAAAAAAAAAAAAAATCAGCCCTTTGTACTCCAGGGCTTGGGAGGGAGCTGCGACTTTATCTATGTAATAGAATGTGGTACAGACTACTGGCATGAACTGGACTTTTGGCTCCAGGCTGGCTCTTCCCAACACTGACGGCTCCCTGACACAGTCCTGCCCGAAAGTGCCAGGCTGGCCTATGGGGTGAGGTCACTGATAGAAAGTGGCTCATTCTGTTGGCTGGCAGGGGACCCAACATGCGGGGACTGTGTCCTGTGTGCAGCAATCAGACTGGTTCCCTCTGGGGTTTGGACACAGGGATGATGGAGGTCCCTCACTACCTGGGAGGCAAAGGGGAGCAGGACAGGCATGGAGAGAGAGGCAGAGGCTGACGGGAAAAGTGCTTACGGGTCACGAGAGAGAGTGACAGAAAGAGGGAGCCTCAGGTCCGCATGCTTCCCCAATGTTTCTGGGCATGGTTATCATAAATCCTCTTTTCATGAGCAGACCTGGCTTTTCTTCCTCATGAAAAAGACCCAATACTCACATAACAGAACACTAAAAATGGTGAAGTTGCTGACACAGGCCCAGAGCCTCTCCTGTAGGGGGTTGTCTAGGTTGGGCTTCCCCTGACAAGGATTTGGCTTGTTTGCAAAGTGATCCCAAGAAGCCTGAATAAGGAAGTGAAGCAGTGAGACAGATAAGGGAAGGCAGACAGTAAAGGGTGGGTGCTGAAGTAATTACTACTGTGGTCAACTGGAGGGACCTTTGGGAAAGAGTATGGAATGGGGGCCAGACACCGTGGCTCACACCTGTAATCCCAGCACTTAGGGAGGCTGAGGCAGGTAAACCACCTAAGGTCAGGAGTTCAAGACCAGCCTGGCCAACATGGCAAAGCCCTGTCTCTACAAAAATACAAAAATTAGCCAGATGTGGTGGTGGGTGCCTGTAATCCCAGCACTCGGAAGCCTGAGGCAGGGGAACCGCTGGAACCCAGGAGGCGGAGGTTGCAGTGGGCCGAGACTGCACCACTGCACTGCAGCCTGGGTGACAGAGGAGACTCTGTCTCAAAAAAAAAAAAGGAGTGCAGAATGAGACCTGGATTCCTTCCATCTTTGGGGCGAGGGAGCTGTGGTATTTATCCACCAACTCCTACCAGATCTGGTGGAGGGCTGCTTTCAGGGTGGGTCTGCTGGTGCGGGGAAAGCTCAGGCAAAGGGATGCAGGTGCCGGCAGTTGGAAGTGAAGCCAACCTTCCCCGGAGCAGTAAAGGCCAAGGGGATATGAATGGGACGCGGACAGCACACGCTCCAGTATGAGCATCTACACAGCATCTGCCAGATGCCCCGTATTGTGGATCCTTAACATCGATTTTCTCCAACCCTTGCATCGATACTGTATCGTAGGTACCAGTTTACTCCTGCCTTATGGATAAGGGATTGAGGCTCACAGCGGTGGGAGAATGGCTGAGCTGGGATTTAAACCTGAGTCTCCAAGATTCTTTCCATTTTCTCATGCTAGCTGCTACAAAGCCCTGAAATGGTCCGCGGAGAGCAAGAGGGCCGAGCTAAGGTGGAGGGTGGCTTAGGAAACAAGGAACAGGCTTATACCCACTCCATGGCCCCCCCGTGACTTTGATAAGTCACCAACTTGAGATGCCAGCTGCGTTGGCGTGAGATGTCAATGCTCAACACTGGTGGCAACCTTACTGCTTACTGCAGCCAGTCCGTAAAACTCTATGCTATATTTCATCAGCTCCTCTTTCTTTTCCTCTGAGATTTGGTGGGCAAACAGTGGTCCAGTACCTCTCTTTTTTGAGCTGTTTTCTGACACAATCCTCGATTACTGGATTCTGGAGTGTGTAGTACTTGGTCCAGTAGATACAGATGTCTTCATACGCCAGGAGCAGGTCCATCACCGTGGTGAAGCCTTCATCCAACATGAAATTCTCATCTTCCTCAGTACCCATTTCCCAGGCGTAGATGGTTAGTAGTTCAAGAGCATAGAGAGGGGGTAGATTGGCCCTGGGCGACCTGGCTTTCACATACTGTTGAAAGAGATGGGAAGAAAGAGAGGCCCTGAGATTCTGTGTAAGGATGCCATTGGACCAGAAGCTGAGAAATCCAAGTTCTAGTCCTGGCTCTGCTGCCTACTGACTGTGTGATCTTGGCCAAGTCACATTCCATCTCTGGACATAGGTTTCACCATTTTAGAATTAAAGGCCTGAGTTAGTCCACTGGGCTTCAATATGTGCTTGACAGATGTAACTCCTGAAATGAAGTTATGAGCAGGTGTCCAAAGGAGTGAGCAGTGGAAAAAAGAGTGAGCTTGTGATCTCTGTCACAAGCATCCTAGCCTAAGCAGTTCCACTGAAATCTATTTTAATGCATTGAGCTTCCGAGAAATGCTTCTTTAAAGAAAGGAAAGGTTTCCTTAGATAGAGGGAAAAAATGGTAATAGGCGAGATTCTGTAGTGAAGATTGGGGTTGCCTCTCTAGCAGACATTCTTTCCTTCCCCACTGCACAGAAGCCATGTTTGGAAGGGGTTGACCCCCACCCTCAGCTCCAGGATGGGCCATGACTGGCACAGGTCTATCAGCATAAACCTTTCTGCTTGCAAGTGATTGGTTCAAGAGAAGGCATGCCATCTAAGTTGGCTCACTAGAGTCAAGCCTAGTTATTTTGTTCAGTGGTTGAAAGAAGGAAAGTCCTCTCGTGTGTGGATATGAGGGCAGGAACAGTTGTGGCTATTTTGCCGCCAAGAGGGAAACAAGCCAGAGGACCAAGTTGACATATAGAGGACTGAGAAGCTGAGAAGATTCCAGAGAAACACAGCCGGTGCCCTCTCCAAACAGTGCCTGAAGCCCCCTCCCCACTATTTAGGGGTTTTCATATATGAGCTGATAACTCCCTACATTGTTTAAGTTAGTTTGAGTTGGTTTTTGTGTTTTTTTCTTACTTACAAAAGAAAACATCTTTTTTTTTTTTTTTTTTTTTTGAGACAGAGTCTCACTCTGTTGCCAGGCACTAGGCTGGAGTGCAGTGGCACAATCTCGGCTCACTGCAACCTCTGCCTCCCCGGTTCAAGCAATCCTCCTACCTCAGCCTCCCGAGTAGCTGGGACTACAGGCGCACGCCACCGTGCCCAGCTAGTTTTTGTATTTTTAGTAGAGACGGGGTTTCACCATGTTGGCCAGGATAGTCTCGATCTCTTGACCTCGTGATCCGCCCGCCTCGGCCTCCCAAAGTGCTGGGATTACAGGCTTGAGCCACTGCGCCCGGCAAAAGAAAACATCTTAACTGATGCTGGTCACTTCCTAGGTTAAGAATCTCACTGAGGCTTACATCAATAATCCTTGCATTTTGGGAGGCTGAGGCGGGTGGATCATGAGTTCAGGAGTTCGAGACCAGCCTGGCCAACATGGTGAAACCCCGTCTCTACTAAAAATACAAAAATTAGCAGGGCACAGTGGCGGGCGCCTGTAATCCCAGTTACTAGGGAGGCTGAGGCAGGAGAATTGCTTGAACCCGGGAGGCGGAGGCTGCAGTGAGCCAAGATTGCACCACTGCACACTAGCCTGGGAGACAGAGCAACACTCCATCTCAAAAAAAACAAAAAGTCTCACTGAAGGCTGAGCACGGTGGCTCATGCCTGTAATCCCAGCACTTTGGAGGCCGAGACAGACGGATCATGAGGTCAAGAGATAGAGACCATCCTGGTCAACGTGGTGAAACCCTGTCTCTACTAAAAATACAAAAATTAGCTAGGCATGGTGGCACACGCCTGTAATCCCAGCTACTTGGGAGGTAGAGGTGGGAGAATTGCTTGAATCTGGGAGGCGGAGGTTGTAGTGGGCCAAGGTCACACATTGTACTCCAGCCTGGGTGACAGAGTAAGATCTTGTCTCAAAAAAAAAAAAAAAAAAAAAAAAGAATCTCACTGATACATTGATAGAAAGTGAAAATTTTGGTCAAATATTCAGTGGTTTGATTTGTGGAAGCGAAACTGACATATTTTCCTATGGCCATTATATATAAATATTATATCAAATTCTACAGCCAGAGGGAAAAAAACTGTAACATTTTGGCCTTGAAACAAACAAATAAACACAGGATCATCTTGTATAATTCTCACCTCCCAAATAAATGAAAGCTTGGGCCTTCCCTACAGGTCACTGACTCACTAACAAAAACACTTTATCCCTGACTTTAGAAATTCAATTTTAAATTCAAATTTATTTGTAAGTTAATGAATTTGTTTTGTGACTTTTTGCAAATTCACACTTAACACTCAATTTTGTAAATCATAACTAATAACATTATGATTTTGTTAGGAATTTAAACTTATGGTAATACAACTTATTTTCTCCAATACTAGTGAAATGTTACATTCTTAAAACTTAGATGATATATAAAATGTAGGATGCCTGTGATCGGTAAGATGTAAGCCTTAGTAAATGGGTAAAAAAAAAACCCAGGTCAACTTACTTCACCTCCCGGCTCAAGTGATCCTTCAGCCTCAGCCTCTAGAGCAGCTGGGACTACAGGTGCCCGCCACCATGCCCAGCTAATTTTTGTATTTTTGTAGAGACAGAGTTTCACCATGTTGCTCAGGCTGGTCTTGAACCCTTGGGCTAAAGTGATCCTCCTATCTCAGCCTCCTAAAGTGCTGAAATCACGGGCGTGAGCTGCAACATCTGGCCACTAATTGTTTTTTCTTTAAATCCCTGTTATATTTTATTTTTATTGGCTCAAATCTTTCCTTCTGCTCTCTGATTCTCTTGTAACTTCTCTGTAAGTTTTATATAATAAAAGGTTTTTTTTGTTTTTTTTTTTTTTTTAAAGACGGGGTTTCACCATGTTGGTCAGGCTGGTCTTGAACTCCCGACCTCAGGTGATCCGCCCGCCTTGGCCTCCAAAGTGCTTGGATTACAGGTGTGAGCCATCACGCCCGGCCAATAAATGATTTTTGTCTCTGAGTTTTGTTTTGCAGTTGGAGGTTCCATTGATTATCTTGGGGGAAGGTTTTTTCTTCTAAAACGGTCGGAACTGTTGCCTGAGAAATGTCCCCGGGGGCTGTTTACACCCACACATGCCCTCTTTTCCACTCCTGGGGTGGAATTAAAGAAATCCTTCCTCCTGTTGGTCCTTAACCTGCTGTGGTTAACCGCCACAGTACCCAGCGATGTTGACATCTGCCAGTCCTAGACTGTAACTGAAGCATTACAAGAACTGTGGGCTGGGTGTGGTGGCTCATGCCTGTAATCTCAGCATTTTGGGGATGCCAAGGTGGAAGGATCGCTTGAGACCACTTGGAAACCAGGCTGGTCAACACAGTGAGACCCTGTCTCTACAAAAGAAAAATAAAAACATTAGCCAGGCATGATGGTGCATGCTTCTAGTCCCAGTTACTTAGGAGGCTAGGGTGGGAGGATCACTGGATCCAGGGAGGTGGGGGCTACAGTGAGTGGTGATCGCACCGCTGCACTCCAGCCTGGGCAACAAAGGGAGACCCTGCCTCAAAAAAAAAAAAAAAATAACTAGTTTACTGAAATACTGTATGGTACCTGTTTTTCTCCTTCCTTCTCTATTTCTTCCTCCTCCTCCTCTCCTTCTCCTTTTCCACCGTCTTCACTGAGGGTTTCACTTTACATTTCTAAAGGCTAGCATTCTCTCCCTCTCTACCCACTTCCATTTCCCCTTGGTACAGTTTCCTGAGAGGAAAATCAGGCCCCGTCTTTCCTCCCCACCCTCCTCCCTCTCCCCGCTTGCCCCCGCCCTCCGGGCAGCCCCCTCACCTGATGGTACCAGTGCTTCACCAGGCGCAAGAGGCTCTTTAGCTTAGTTGGTCGATGTTTCACGAAGTTTCTCTGCAGCTCACTGAAGGATGGGGAGAAATTTCCAGGAACATCGCAGGCGTTGATCAGGCTCACATAGACCTCAGCGGGTGGCTGGGAGTTGGGAACAGAAGGCCCTGAGGAGTGAGGGTGAGTCTGCTTATTCATTGGAGTTATTCCTCCGGGGACCCTTGAGACCTCCTATCTTCAGAAACCAAAGGTTTGCCTTGTCTAATTGTCCTTTTTGTGAAGTTCTTACTTGGGGAACCAACATGGGGCTTTCCACGCGTCAGGCCACGCCTGGACTATTGTCTTCCCTGGATGTCCTCAATGTCCTCGTTTTATTTAATGTCTGTTTCGGATCTCTTTCTGGGTAATCTGTTGGAACCTCTCAATACTTATAGGGATGCTGGGCATGGTGGCTCAAGCCTGTAGTACCAGCACTTTGGGAGGCCAAGGCAGGTGGATCACCTGAGGTCAGCAGTTTGAAACTAGCCTGGCCAACATGGTGAAACGCTGTCTCTACTAAAAATACAAAAATTAGCTGGGTGTGACATGGTGGCAGGCGCCTGTAATCCCAGCTACTCGGGACGCTGAGGTTGGAGAATCGCTTGAATCCAGGAGGTAGAAGTTGCAGTGAGCCAAGATCGTGCCACTGCACTCCAGTCTCGGTGAAAGAACAAGACTCAGTCTCAAAAAAAGAAAAAAAGAAAGAAAGAAGACGAAAATACTCACAGGGAGAAGCAGTTCCATGGTACACGTCACTAAGACATCCCAGCACTCTCCTCCTTGCTAAAATTGGATCCTGTCTGATACCTTCTCCAAAAAGCAACTCCATGCAGCAGCCACCACAGCTAATAGGAGTTAGCACACGAGATGAAACCTCTGGGATCTGGGCTTTCAGCACATAGGGTTTATTTCAAATACCCAGGCCTCTACCGGAGGACAAACACCAGGGGCCAGTGACCTAGTGCTCCCGGAAGCCGCCCCAGGCCAGTGGTGGGCTGGTAAGCACTCCAGCGTCCCACTTGGCATCCCATGGAGCCATGCTCTATAATATGACTGCGAGTTCTCCAAGGACACGAAGTCCAGAGTGGTGACTTGCCCACGGATGCACACTGTATTGAATTCCTGCCTTTCCCATCTCAATTCCATCCTTCCCCACCAGTGTTCCCTGGGATTAACACCCAAATAAACTGCTTGTCCTCACACCCTTGTCTTTGGATCAGCTTCTAGAGAACGCAGTGACAGACCCCCACTCCCACTTTTAGCTCCTTCCCCTCACTGGGTGTCAGCGCCTCCTGAATATTCTTTCCCGAGAAAGTCCCTTCCTGAGCACCCTTTCTGTGGTTCCCCAGGCCACTCCATTCTTTTCCTCTTAGCATTGACACCATTTGCAACCATGTATTAATCTGTGCAATTCTTGGGTCAATTTCTGTCTTCCAAGTTGAGCACATGATAGCCAGAGTTGGGTGAATCCTGTGCACTTCAGTAGCCTGGCCCCTAGCCCAGGACGCAGATGGAATGAATGAATGTGGGTGTGTGCACGTGGCTGTGAGTGAAAGGTGACACACTGGGAAGTCTCCTGGGGAGGGCAAGTGTGTGAGTCCACTGGGCTTCCCCTCCCCTTACCCAGGGCTCTGTAGGCAGGCACGATGGTGACAGTGATGGGTTCCACAGCCTCCCAGGTCTGGATGGTGAGGACGATTGCATCAGGGACTCTCTTCTCCACCCTCAGGCACTCGAGCCCGAGAGCCAGCAGGTCCTGGGATTGCCATATGGCTTTCCATATCAGCCTCAGAACGGCTTGGTGGTGTGTGGCTGCCTCGTGGAAGCTGTGGAAACAGCTCAGAAACGCCACCAGCTCCACCTCTCTTGTGCTCCTGAGAATGGTGCCATTCCCAAAGGAGCCCACCTGCAGAACACAGAACCCCGTCGCCCTGAGGCCAGCTGCAGTGTGCCAGGCACCCCCTGCAGCATTTTACATGCACTGTCTCACTGAATGCTCACACCCCCTGAGGGATGTGTAGTGGGTCGGACTGATACCCACACTTCACAGGTGAGAAAACAGATGTCTCCAGGATCTCGAGACACGGGATCGAGACACGGGGCAGCCTGAAAAAGATCCTGCCTCTTTCCTGCTTCTTATCTGGGTAAACATTCTGACTCCTACAACCTTCACCCATAAAATGAAAGTAATGGTGGAACATGAGTCACTGAGCTGCTGGGAGGATCGGATGAAATCATGTATGCCGGGGTTTGGTGGGGTGCCTGGCACACAGGAAGTCAGCAACACATTGCTCTTTCTCCTCATTAGTCACTTGTCCCGGATCTCACAGTTTGCAGCCCTCAGAGCCCAGCCTCTTTTTTCTGTGTGTGACAGTTCACTCCCATTGCCCAGGCTGGATTGCAGTGGCGCGATCTTGGCTCAAGCAATCCTCCCACCTCAGCCTCCCAAGTAGCTAGGACTACAGGCCTGTGCCCCCATGCCTGGCTAATTTTCATATTTTCTGTAGAGATAGGGTTTTGCTATGTTGTCCAGGATTGATCTCCAACTCCTGGACTCAAGAGATTTGCCCCCCTCAGCCTCCCAAAGTGCCCAGCCTCTTATCTATGACACTGCATTGCTTCTGAGACCCAGTCTTCTTATCCACAGAGTAAGGCCAGCTCCAGAGGAATGATAGCGTTTACTCTGTAGGGTTGTTTGAGAATTCTGGGGGTGGGGGGCCTGAGTAATTTCATGGCATTATAAAGCAAGAGGAAGTTTGCCTAGTACATTTAAGATCCATAGGCTGTGAAATGGGGCAGCCTGAAAAAGATCTTGACTCTTCCCTGTGTGCGTGGTTTTTTTTTTTTTTTTTTGAGATGGAGTTTCGCTTTTGTGCCCAGGCTGGAGACCAGGGCAGTGATCTCGGCTCGCGACAACCTCCACCTCTTGGGTTCAAGAGATTATCCTGCCTCAGCCTCCCAAGCAGCTGGGATTACAGGCACCTGCCAACACGGCCAGCTAATTTTGTATTTTTAGTAGGGAGGGTGTTTCTCCATGTTGGTCAGGCTGGTCTTGAACTCCTGACCTCAGGTGATCTGCCTGCCTTGACCTCCCAAAGTGCTGGGATTACAGGCAAGAGCCACCACGCCTGGCCCTCTTCCCTGTTTCTTATCTGGGTAAACATTCTGACTCTTAAGATCTTCACCTGTAAAACGAAAGTAATGCTGGGACATGAGTCATTGGGCTACTGGGAGGATCTGATGAAATCATGTATGCCAGGGGTTTGGTGGGGTGCCCGGCACGCAGGAAGTCAGCAACATGCGTCTCTTCCCCCTCATTATCTAGCTGACTTAGACAATTCCTTCTGCTGCCCCGGGGGGGTCAGTTTTCCTGTCAGTAATGGAAGGGGGTCGAGATGGATAATTTTGAAGGGATTTTTTTTTTTTTTTTTTTTTTTGAGACGAAGTTTCGCTCTTGTTCCACAGGCTGGAGTGCAATGGTGCGATCTCGGCTCACCGCAACCTCCGCCTCCTGGGTTCAGGCAATTCTCCTGCCTCAGCCTCCTGAGTAGCTGGGATTACAGGCATGCGCCACCATGCCCAGCTAATTTTTGTATTTTTAGTAGAGACGGGGTTTCACCATGTTGACCAGGATGGTCTCGATCTCTCGACCTCGTGATCCACCCGCCTCAGCCTCCCAAAGTGCTGGGATTACAGGCGTGAGCCACCGCGCCCGGCCTTGAAGGGATTTTTTAATGTTTGGAAATTCTAGACTAGCTCCCCAGACGCTGTTGCCTCTGGTATGCAAAGCCCCGCAACTATCTGTCCTCCTCGCCTCATTCTGTGTTGGGAGGCGGAATTGCTAGGGAGGTATCAGACCCGCAGTGGGCTACTTTTCCTGGTGGATAGAGTTACTGCACTTGAATCAGAATCCAGCTGTCGCCAGATGACACAACACAGGCTGAGCACGCCCTGCGTCTGGCACCCCTGAGAGCCCTGTATACAATTATTCCTTCTAATCTTCACTTCCTGCCCAGGCTCGGTGGCTCACGCCTATAATTCCAGCACTTTGCGAGGCCTTGGTGGATGGATCCCCTGAGGTCAGGAGTTCGAGACCAGCCTGGCCAACATGGTGAAACCCTTGTCTCTACTAAAAACACAAAAATTAAAAGAAAATTAAAAGGAAAAAAAAATTCTCTGTAATCAGCAGCTAAAAGAAAAAATAATAAAATAAAATAAAAATACAAAAATTAGCCGAGTGTGGTGGTGAGTGCCTGTAATCCCAGCTACTGGGGAGGCTGAGGCAGGAGAGTCGCTTGAACCCAGGAGGCAGAGGTTGTGGTGAGCCAAGACCTCACTGCTGCACTCCAGCCTGGGCAACAGAGTGAGATTCTATCTCAAAAAAACACAACCCCCTCCAAAAAAAACTTCACTTCCCATATTGAGGTGGGTACTAGAATTCTCTCCCATGTACAGATGAGAAAGCTGAGGCAGTGTGGCATTAATCAGCTTGCCATGATCTCCCAGCCAGGAGGCAGCGGAGTCAGCAAAAGAGCCAGAATTCAAGTCGTGAGTGGTTCTTCCACCTCTTTCTTCCTTGTGACCCAAGGCTGTGAGCCAGGCCCTGCTTCCAACGTACCATGGGCATTCCAACCCAGCACTCCCACCCCATAGGAGAGGGTTGGAGGTGGCACCCGGTGTGTGAATGAAGGACATAACCCTCAAAAGCCATGTCTAGACTTTCCTTTCTTTTTTTGACAGGGTCTTGCTCTGTTGCCCCGGCTGGAGTCAATGGGACAATCCTCACTCACTGAAGCCTCGGCCTCCTGGGTCTACGCAGTCCTCCCACCTCAGATGGAACTGAGTAGTTGGAACTATGGGCACGCACCACCATGCCCAGCTAATTTTTTATATTTTTTTGTAGAGTCAGGGGTCTCACCATTTTGCCCAGGCTGGTCTCGAATTCCTGGGCTCAAGCAATCCTCCCACCTTGGCCTCCCAAAGTGCTGGGATTACAGATGCGAGCCACCGAGCCTGGCCTGGACTTCCCTTTCTGCCTTTCCCAATGGTAAGATCCAGGCAGAGAAAAGAACACATCCAGAACAGGCTTCCTAATTTACTTCGGTTTTAAACCGATTTAAGCACAATTCATTTGAAGCATTCCCTTATGTGGAGCCCCTCTGCTCACTAGATTTTCAGGGGGTAGGGAAAGAGAGGATTTAGACTCTAAATAAGATATATCATTTCTCATTAGTCATGGCTCTCTGGGGATTGCTGCCATTTAGTGGTTTCAAGGGGAGAAGTGGCTATGATGTGCAGGAATGTAAATAGCATTTCCTGCTGTAAAAACTTATTCTCGGCCAGGCTCAGTGGCTCACGCCTGTAATCCCAGCGCTTTGGGAGGCTGAGGTGGTTGGATCATTTGAGGTCAGGAGTTCAAGACCAGCCTGGCCAACATGGTGAAACACTGCCTCTACTAAAAACACAAAGATTAGCCGGGCGTGGTGGTGCAGCCCTGTAATAGCAGCTACTCGGGAGGCTGAGGCAGGAGAATCAATCTCTTAAACCCTGGAGGCGGAGGTTGCAGTGAGCGGAGTGTGCCACTGTAATCCAGCCTGGGCAGCAGAGTAAGATTCCGTCTCAAAAATAAATAAGTAAAAACAGAAACAAAAAAACTCATTCTTGTAGCATCCTTGTCTTACCAGACACTCCTTATTCCTTCCACTTTATTCTCAGGGTTGTTGGGGAGGGTGTGGTCTGGGAGGGTCTGCCGGAGTCAGACTTGTGTCTCAGGCCCGGAAGAAAGCTTGGCAGGAATTAGAATGATGCTGCTTTTTCTGAGCATGTATCACGTACCAGTCATTCAGCCTGCATTGCACCATTGGCTTGGTGAGGGAGACACAAGGATGATGATGCCCCAATCACAGATGAGAAGATTGTGGCTTTGAGAAATAAGAGTGGTAAGCAAAGCCACGCAGCTGGTAAGGGAAGAAGCGAAGAGTCTGTCTGATATCAAAATCTATGCTTTCTCACTTATAAACTATATGGTCTCAGGCTTCATATGCTGGGGATAGGTGCAAAGGATAGGGGCCTGCGGCGTCTAGGTCCCTCTGTGAGTTGGTTACCCTCAGAGAGAGAACTTGATCACTGGGCTGGGAGTCAGGAGTCTTAATTCTAGTCTTGCCTTTGCCACCAACTTGCTGTATGATCTTGGGATATCTCTCTGTGCCTCAGTTTACTTAATATTTAAGTGAGGGATTGGTGAGACTGTCTGATCCTCCAAAGCCTTTCTAGCTCTGACCCTTTTGAATTTGATCCTAGCTAGCACAGGAGGTGGCATGAAACAGCTGGAGGAAGGGATTGGAGAAAAATCTCAGTGAGGGGGGGCTTGGATCCCTTGAGTCAAGCTCAAATCCCAGCTTCAACACTCATGTGTGACCTTGGGCAAGTCACCTCACTTCTCTGAGCCTCCATTTAAAAAATCATTTTACTGGTCAGGTGTGGTGGCTCACACCTGTAATCCCAGCACTTTGGGAGGCTGAGGTGGGCATATTCTTGAGTCCAGAAGCTCGAGACCAGCATGGGCAACATTGGTGAAACCCTGTCTTTACAAAAAATACAAAAATTAGCTGAGCATGGTGGTGCAAGCCTGTAGCCCCAAGCTACTTGGGAGGCTGAGGTGAGAGGATCACCTGAGCCCAGGGAGGTGGAGTCTGCAGTGAGCCGTTATTGTGCCACTGCACTCCAGCCTGGGTGACAGAGCGAGACCCTATCTCTAAAAAATAATTTCATTTTATTAAAAAAGGTAAAACATATGGAAAAATAGAAAGATGATACAACTAACAGTCATATACCCAACTAGTTGATTCAACAAGTCTCAACTTCTGTCTGCATTTGCTTAATCTAAGCCACGTTAAAGTAAATTACAGACACCAAGGAACTTTGTCCCTAAATACGTCAGTGTTTGTGTCCAAACAAAAGAGAACTTTCTCCTTGATAACCACACAACCACTGTTACGCCTAACAAAAATCAACGATTTCCTACGCCAGATATATACACTGTCTGATATCTAGGCCATATGAAAATTCCACCGTTGTTCCCAAACCATATTTTACAGATGGTTCATTCACACCAGGATCCAACTAAGGACCTCGCTTTGTATTAGTTCTGAGCCTCCATTTTGCTAATCTGTAAAGAATAGTACCTATCTTAGGTCAGGCACAATGGCTCACGCCTGTAATCCCAGCACTTTGGGAGGCTGAGGCAGGTGGATTGTCTGAGGTCGGGAGTTCAAGATCAGCGTGACCAACATGGAGAAACCCTGTCTTAGCAAAAATACAAAATTAGCCGGGCATGGTGGCGCATGCCTGTAATCCCAGCTACTCGGGAGGTTTCTCTTGAACCCAGGATATGGAGGTTGCAGTGAGCTGAGATCGCACCATTGCATTCCACCCTGGGCAACAAGAGCGAAACTCCATCTCAAAACAAAAACAAACCACCCCCACCCCTGCAAAAAAACCAATAGTACCTATCTCACAGGGTGCAAGAATTAGAGACAGTGTATATATGAAAAGGTTAGGCTAGTGAGGCCCCAAATATGAGTATTATTATTAGACTCATTCTGCTGAAGGTAGTGGTGCAGTGAGGTGTAGACAGCCAGGTGGGATGGGGTGTCCTGAGATGTCATCAGCATGGGCAAGGGATCAGGAGGACAGGCGTCCCCAGCATCCTCAGGGACATGGACTCTGCTAGTGGGTTTTGTCCTGCGTGGGGGACTGGAGGAGCCCAGTCTTACCTTGATCACCTTCAGCACCCGCACATCTCGGTCCAGCCCATGCTCCCCCTGGAAATGCTCCTGCCTCAGAAACTGCTCCACGGTCCGCACAGCGTCCAGCACCTTTTCCTTCCACTCCCGGTGGGGCTGCAGCCACTGAGCCACGAAGGAGTCCAGCCTGGAGGCTGGTGTGGCATACAGCTCCTGTGTCAGTGCCATCTTTGTACCCAGAGTACCTCCGCTGGGCAGATATATAGCCAGACACCTACCCAGCTCCCTGGCACACAACCCCTTTGTTAAGGCGGCTCCTCCTCAGCTGCCCTCCAGTGCTGCGTGGGATGAATGACCCTAGCAGATAGGAAACCAGGTGTGATGGGCTGACTCGGGGTCCCCTTTCTTGGAGACTACCTCACTGAGTAGAGGCACAGGAGGACGCTGGGCTGAGGTCGGAATATCTGGGGCCACCTTAAAAAGCCTGTCATCGAGTCTATCTCTCTGCTGTCAGTTTCGATTCTCAGCTTTTAGAATTTCCCTTTTATGATGTTTGGAAACTGAAATTGGATAGTGTTTGACCCTAGAGCAGGCAATTTGCCCAGTAGGTTGGAGTAGGATGGTTGTTAGTCAATTCAACGGCTTAAATCTGTCTAAGGAAATCGAGGCAAATAGTAAAAACTGGAAAAACAAAAACAAAAGGAAATCGAGGCTTGGGAACAGAAGGGACGGGCTCATGTTCAGGTGAAGGAGTTAGAATCTGGAGTCTGAGAGAACAGATTGAGAGTCCTTGTCTGCCCTGTGCCCGACTCTAGCCTAATCCCTCACACTCACTATTTCTAAAGTGGGTTTATCAGGTATTGTGACCCACGCACTGAACCAAGTTCATGCACTGAGCCAAGAAGATGAAATAAGATGAGGTTCCTGTTCCAAGGGGGCTCCCAGAGTGGCGGAGGAGACAGCTAAGAAAAGAGACTCCAAGGCCTGGTGCAGTGGCTCATGCCTGTAAGCCAGCACTTTGGGAGGCTGAGCCAGGCAGATCACCTGAGGGCGAGAGTTCGAGACCAGCCTGACCAACATGGAGAAACCCAGTCTCTACTACAAATACAAAATTAGCCGGCGTGGTGGCACATGCCTGTAATCCTAACGACTCGGGAGGCCGAGGCAGGAGAATCGCTTGAACTTGGGAGATGGAGGTTTTGGTGAACTGAGACGGCACCATTGCACTCCAGCCTGGGCAAGAAGAGCAAAACTTCGTCTCAAAAAAAAAGACTCCAAAAGTCCAGTGCAATGTGTGTTAAGTAGGAAAAAAGCATAAAAACTTGGTGAGAAGCGGGCACATGAGTTTCATTTGGTGTTAGCAGACACCTGCTTGAGAGGAATATTAAAGACCAGAGATCCAGGCCGGGTGCTGTGGCTCATACCTGTAATCCCAGCACTTTGGGAGGCCGAGGTTAGAGGATCACTTGAGGCTAGGAGTTCAAGACCAGCCTGGGCATCATAGTGGACACCTGCAATTCCCCAAACTCTGAATAATAAGCACTCCAGGGCTTAGTCCTGGGTCCTTTTCTCTTGTTGCTCTAGACTTACTCCCTTGGTGATTTCAACCAGCGTTTAAATGTTTTTACCCTGGCAACTCCCACATTTTCATTTAATTTTTATTTATTCATTTATTTTTGAGATGGAGTCTCATTCTGTTACCCAGGCTGGAGTAAAATGGTGCGATCTCGGCTCACTGCGACCTCCACCTCCTGGGTTCAAGCGATTCTTGTGCCTCAGCCTCCCAAGGAGCTGGAATTACAGGAGCATACCACTACATCTGGCTAATTTTTTTGTAATTTTAGTAGAGACAGGGTTTCACCATGTTGCCCAGGCTAGTCTCAAACTCCTGACTTCAAGTGATCTGCCCTCTTTGGCCTCCCAAAGTGCTGGGATTACAGGCATGAGCCACCCACCCAGTGACTCTGACATTTGTATCTTAAATCCAGACCTCTTCCCTGAAATCCAGACTCATGGACCCAACTCTCCCCTCCACATTGGCTTTGAATGCCAGTCTGCCCTTTGCCATCCTCATAACTTCTCTGCTTCTGTGGCGAAGATGATTGCAAGGGCCGGAGAAGATGGAGGGAGACAGTCAGGACACGGTGCAGTGGTGCAGCTGAGAGGCAGTGGTGGCCTGGAGCAATCGCTACAAAAATTTTAAAAATAATAGCTAAGGCCGGGCGCGGTAGCTCAGGCCTATAATCCCAGCACTTTGGGAGGCCGAGGCGGGTGGATCACGAGGTCAAGAGATCGAGACCATCCTGGTCAACATGGTGAAACCCCGTCTCTACTAAAAATACAAAAAATTAGCTGGGCATGGTGGCGCGTGCCTGTAGTCCCAGCTGCTCAGGAGGCTGAGGCAGGAGAATTGCCTGAACCCAGGAGGCGGAGGTTGCGGTGAGCCGAGATCGCACCATTGCACTCCAGCCTGGGTAACAAGAGCGAAACTGTCTCAAAAAAAAATAAATAAATAAAAAATAATAGCTAAATGTCGTGGTGTGCACCTGTAGCCCCAGCTACTTGGGAGACTGCCTGAATCTGGGAGTTTCAGGCTGCAGTGAACTATGATGGCACCACTGTACTCTAGCCTGGGTGACAGCATGAGACTCTGTCTCAAAAAAAAGTAATAAAAATGACTGGGACTCCAGCCAGGAGGATGAGGGCACAGCATAGATAAAGGCTAAGAAGGGTAAATGACACTAGGGCGTGCCAGGAACTCAAGTGTCCCATGTGCCCTGGCATGCAAGGGTGAGCAGGGGAAAGGTGAGAAATGTACCTGGACAGGTGGGAAGGATTAAATCTTGGCGTATCATTCACTCATTCATTCATTCACTCATTCATTTATTTACTCGCTCATTCAACGATACTTATTGGGCGCCTCCTTTGTGCCAGGCAGGTGCTGTGGATACAATAATGAACAAACAGTAGTGAAAAATCCCCGCCTGCAGAGAGCTTGCTTTCTGGTAGTGAAGACCAACAATAAATAGGATAAATAAATAAAACTATAGTAAAGAAGATGGTGATAAGCGCTAAGCACGAAAACAAAGCAAGGAAACGGATTAAGAGGTTGTGTGTGTGTGTGTGTGTGTGTGTGTGTGTGTCAGGGTGTGTGTATTTAGGTGTTCAGTCTTACATAAGGTGATTAGGGAAGGCCTCCCTGAAAAGAAGACATCTAAGAAAAGACATAAGAAGGTAAAGAAGCCGGGTGCGGTGGCTCATGCCCGTAATCCCAGCACTTTGGGAGGCCAAGGTGGGCAGATCACCTGAGGTCAGGAGTTCAAGACCAGCCTGACCACATGGAGAAACTCCATCTCTACTAAAAATACAAAATTAGCTGGGTGTGGTGGTGGACACCTGTAGTCCCAGCTACTTGGGAGGCTGAGGCAGGAGAATCACTTGAACCTGGGAGGCGGAGGTTGCAGTGAGTTGAGATTGTGCCATTGCACTCCAGCCTGGGCAACAACAGTGAAACTCCGTCACAGGAAAAAAAAAAAAAAAAAGAAGGTAAAGAGTGAGCCACGTGAATAGCAGAAGGAAGAAGACCCTTCATGGCAGAAGGAATGACAAGTGTGAAGACCCTCTGGTGGTACCACCCAGCAGCAAGCATAAGGAACATCAGTGTGTGCCTGGAATGGAATGACCAAGAGCAGAGAGTGAAAGGCATGGTGGTTTAAGTAGCAAAGGGTAGTGAGGCAAATGGATATACCATCTTTTTTTTTTTTGAGATGGAGTTTCGCTCGTCGCCCAGGCTGGAGTGCAATGTCTCGATCTCGGCTCACTACAACCTCCACCCAGGTTCAAGTGATTCTCCTGCCTCAGACTCCTGAGTAGCTGGGATTACAGGTGCCCACCACCCCGCCAGGCTGATTTTTGTATTTTTGGTAAAGACGGGTCTTCTCCATGTTGGCCAGGATGGTCTCTAACTCCTGATCTTAGGTGATCCACCTGCCTCGGCCTCCCAAAGAGCTGGGATTACAGGCATGAGCCATCGCACCCAGCCAGGATATAGGATCTTTTTTTATTTTTTATTATACTTTAAGTTCTGGGGTACATGTGCAGAACACGCAGGTTTGTTACACAGGTATACACGTGCCATGGTGGTTTGCTGCATCCATCACCCCGTTATCTACATTAGGTATTTCTCCTAATGCTATCCCTCCTCTATCCCCTTGCCCCCTGCTATCCCTCCCCTAGCCCCTCAGCAACCCAAAGTGCTGGGATTACAGGCATGAGCCACTATGCCTGGCCAAGCCCCAAATTTAAGTGATGGGCAGAGGAAGAGAAATTTAGGCAGTACCGGCTGGGGCGGCTCAAGAGTGGGGAACAAACCAGAGTTTTAAAAAGTCATCCACATTGCCCAATGCTTTTGAGAATTTAAGACACACAGATCTGAGAATTACCCAGGAAAAAAACTGGCAATGGAGGTGGGTGCAGTTTCAGGGGAGAGGAGGGAGCTGAAGCCAGATTAGGGTGGGTGGGATGGGGGGCACGGAGACCGGAAGTGCAGATGATTCTTTCAAGGAGTTTGTCAATCATGACATATTTCAATTTAACTTTTCAAACTGGCTATCCCCAAGTGGAAAGCATCACATGTTTTAATCACATCAATTCTAAAAGTTCTTATATTTCCAGTGTTTGGTAGTACTTAATCCTTGAGCAATACCATATTATGAGGATTTAAAGAGCAGTGACGATTTCGCAAAGCTAAGTCAACAATTGGTTAAGACTCCAAACATCTGCCATATGGTTAGAATGACTGACAATGAACTTCAAAGCAATATAGGAGTTATTCAAACGATAAGCATTCAGACCTTAACCTATTCGGTTTTTCTTAAACTTCATGAAATCGCCGAGGGTTACATAGCTTTCAATGATTTGATCATTAATATGTTGGATGACATTTGAGGATTTCAAAAGGGAACATGAAATCAGTAATGTGTTGGTTTTATGGTTTGTTAAAATACCACCCAGTTGAGTAGGCATCTGCAGAGAGGGAAAAGACCCAGTGGATAGGAAGGGGTTGAGCTAGGTTTGGGGCAGGAGAAAGATTCACAAAGATGAATATTGTCTTAGCTTGGATCCCCACAATGCAGAGCATGAGATAGAGTCTTGCTGTCTTGCCCAGGCTGGAGTGCAGTGGAGTGATCTCACCTCACTGCAACTTCCACCTCCTGGGTTCAAGCAATTTTCCTGTCTCAGCCTCCCAAGTAGCTGGGACTACAGGTACACACCACCACACCTGGCTAATTTTTGTATTTTTAATGGAGATAGGGTATCACCATATTGGTTAGGCTGGTCTCGAACTCCTGACCTCAGGTGATCCACCCACCTGGGCCTCCCAAAGTGCTGGGATTATAGGTGTGAGCCACCACGCCCTGCTGAGAACCCCAGTACCTTTAAGGCCTGTCTATTTTTGGTATTGGAGTGATTATTTCCATCTTATCTCCTTTACAGC